GAGAAACACATGCAACGGCGTTTAATAACAGACGAAGGAGAGTTAAGCTTCCTCATAAAACGTGCCCACGATCAAGGAACGATGGTGTCTGTAGAGAAATGGGATTACCTCGTAGAAGGGGAGCAGACTCGTAAGTGGAATGCTTTGTGTTACTACCAGGACCATCGACCGCAGTATTACCATCTGCGTGCCAGTATGCTCGCATATGCGCATATCAACCTCTTAGCAATGCTCCTACGGTTTGACAAAGAGGAAGTACCACGCGTAGCTACGGATTCTTTGTATGTGAAACCATGCGTTTTGGAGAGGATGAAAGAGTATTACGCCGAAGATGAGTTGGCGGAAAGTGGTCAATGGCGCGTCAAAGATGAGGAGATCAAAGCTTGGAGAGAACGCGTAGAATATCACGGAGAACACCTCCGCGGTAGCGTTGAACCAACCGAGGAGCCTTTGCCTTCAGTTGAGGACCCGATATCTTACCAACGCTTCTCCTATCTGTACGGTACCGGAGGCAGCGGTAAGACGACGCGTGTGTTAGAACTCTTTCCTAAGATAAAGGTGCTAACGCCAACGCATCGTTTGGAAAGAGAACTCTGCGAAATGGGCCACGACGCGCAGACTTACCACAGCTTCTTTCGTTGGAATGGTCAAAAGTGGGTGCCGGAAGCGATACGCGACATACCTCCCGTGATACTTTGGGATGAAATCTGTACCGTGCCCTTAGAAATCCTGCAGGAGTTCGTAGACTTCCTCCGTGGAAAATGCCAAGTCGTATTTGCCGGGGATCCATGTCAAGCACCTCCTATAGCCGGAGAAATGCCCCATGAATGGTTAAAAGAAATGGTAGACTATCATGAAGAAATTAACACAGACTACCGTAGCAAGGATCAAGTGAGGAAATTAAAGGCAGAATTAAGGGGCCTTAGCGACGCCGAACAATCTAAGGTGTTACGTAAGAGGGTACGAGCAAAGTCTTAAGAAGACTTCCTGTATTCTTGGCATCCTGAGGATTTGGTGTTAAGCAGTAAGCGCGCAGCACAGTCGCGCATGCAAAAAGATCTACTGAGAATACACCAGGAGCGGTTCCCTAGTCATTTGGTGCCCGTTTGTTATAAGCCGC